GTTGTATGGGAATGTAACCAAACACAATAGACTGTTAGAGAATTCATAGTTCACTATATGCTGAATCCTCAGAAAAGTGCCTCACACAAAGAGGGCGTTCAGCAAATGCTTTAGCATCCTAAGCCCTAGCCTCACCCCACCTCATCTGAAATCTCTGTACAATTGCTGGTTGCCTCTCACAGGCCCCATTTATATCCTGCAGGGACATAGCCAGACGGAAGTAGGAGATGGGACTGGATCCTGCACTGCTGGCTTTCAATCAGAACTTGCTGATCTCTGGGTCTGGGTCCTTTGTCCTGCTGGGGATGCCAGGACTGGAGGCTCTGCATGCCTGGCTCTGTGCCTGTGTGCCTGCTCTACATGGCAGCTTTGCTAGGGAATGGGGCTTCTACGGGGGCTGGTGGTTGCTGACAAGGCACTCTGGGCACCCATGTACCAGCTGCTGTGGCTTCTGGCAGCTGATGATTTGGTTCTGGCCACATCCACAGTGCCCAAAGCTCTGACGGTACTTTGGGGCTTGTCCAGTGAGATCTCATCTGGAGCTTGTTTGGCTCAACTCTTTGTTGCCCATGTGGCAATCATTGCCACATTGCTGAGTCCTCAGTGCTGCTGGCCGTGACCGTAGACTGCCAGCCTTTGCTCTATGGGGCGTTGCTGGCCCAGCATGTGGTAGGTCTAGTAGCTCTGGCTACCATGACCCGTGATGTCTGTGTCATGGTACACCCTGTGATCCTGCTAGAGAAACTGCCTTACTGTGGGCAGTGGGCCCTGCCCCACACCTACTGTGAACACATGGGTGTGTCTCACCTGGCATGTGGAGATATGTGCCCCATCATCTGGTATGGACTGGTTACCACACTGCTCTCCCCAGCCCTGGTCATAGGGCTCATAGGTGCTTCCTATGCCCTCATTCTCCATGCGGTCTGCTGTCTGCCATCTGCCATCCCACGGTGCCTGCCACAAGGCTCTGAGTAACCGAGGGGCCCATGCTAGTGTCATTGGTCTCTTCTACACATCTGCCCTCTTCTCTTTCCTTGCTCACTGTTTTGGGTCTCACACAGTGCCCAGCCATATTCACATCCAACGGCTAACCTCTACGCAATGGTGTCCCGGGCTCTCAATCCTGTGGTCTATGGAGTGCAGACTCAGCAGATCGCTCAGAGGCTCAGGCACTTGCTTCAACTTTTCTGGGCAGGAGCAGTGAAGAAGGTTGGCCCTGAGAGGGCCTCCCTACAGGAATAAATGTGATCCCTATTTTCTTCAGCGTGCATACCCAGATGACCAAGTGATGCTACAGGACCCATCCGGGTAGAGCTCTGACTAAAACGTCTCCATTGTCTGTTGTCAGGTGGCCCTATGCTCACTCCAGTCCTATTTTATCACCCATTATGTAGGCGAAATACACTGAACTGACCTGTCTCTGTCCAGCTCTACAGTACCCAGTCTATTCCTGGTATTTCTAAGTCTGTATTGATCTCCATAGAGGGATTACACACATATAGAAATAGTTGGTCCCAGACTGTGACAGACTAGGTGGTCTAGGACACATCCTGTAGACTAGGATCTTATTTTTTCTCCATCAGTTTATCCAGCCAAAACCAGATTAATGAAACATGTCTCTGAGTTGGGCCCCTTGTACAATGTCTGACACTAAGCAGGAACTCTGTTTGCTAAGGGGATGAAGACAGGAGGATCTGGGGAAATGGCATTATGTGAATAAAAGAGAACACAGCTCTGGAAATGGACATGGTTTCTGACCTGGGTGATTAATAACTAGAGCTTAGAAGACTTGTTGCTTTGGATGGGAAGAGCATGCACAATACTGTAGCTTCCTCACTAAGCTCTTTCCCTACCTTACTCAGATACTAAGGCTTCTCTTGTGTTTTCAACTTGTGCTAATGGCTGTTTGCAGATGGCAAAATATGGGGACAACTCCAGCAGCAGCTGTCATGCTTCATGCTCTATCTTCATGCTCTTTCATTTTTCCTTTCCTACATTCCTTCTTCCATAAGATGCCTTAGTTCTACTGTCACTCATCTGGATATTAATCCCAGACAGGTTTCCTGCTTCACGCAGCTTAGGTTTCCCAACCTATTCCTCTCTTATCTTCCTTACCTCTGTGCTCCTCTGGATCCTATGGCTACAGCAAGGCCAGGCTAGAGAAGCTAACGAAGAATGGATCTCTGGCCTTGAGCATGGAGTGAGAGGGTGAGAATCTGTAAAGCAAGATAAGGATATGACCTCTCAGCAAGGATTGTCCAACAAAGCTCTGGGCATGTCTTCATGGAGTCATACATCCACACAGCTTCTCAAATCTTTTCCCAGAAGGGAAGTCACAGTTTCATATACTTTTCTCTACTAGGTATATACCAGGGCAAGGATTCCAAAGGATGAGATGAGTAAGCAGAGGAACTTTATACTAAGCAGCCATATAATCTAAAGTTAAGGGTCTGTGAAAAGTAAAGAAACAATAAAGGATAGAGGTAGTAGAGCTACAGAGTCAAAATTCCTCAATGGAAAAATGGGGCAACACACCCTTCATAAGAAATCTGACAGTTTCCTAGGCACTTGGGTGAATGTGAGAGTCCCCACTGTCTGAGAAATACTCAAGAGAGATAGCAGAAGAAAAGAGAATAATTTTGGTTGGCTGGCACTAAGAGCACTGAGTTTTGTGACTCCTTGTCCAGGCCTCAGCAACTATGCTCTTCCTTCTCTATAGGGATAATGGCAGTTCAGAGGCCAGAAGACTTGAGGCTCCACAGCATCCTGTGGCAGGTTAGGAAATATTGGGAGGGAGCTTTCTTGAGGGACAGACAGTAGAGACAGCTGGCATTAAGACCAGAGGAACTGGGGGAAGCATTTGAATAGTGGAATGGATGTAAAAGTTTACAGTACCTGGCATAGTGCAGGAGGCAAACTCGTAGGGGTGAAGGAAGATGTATAACAGAGCAGTTCAGTACAGTATTGCTGAAGCGATCTCCCCAGATATACACTTTGGCCCTCATCCAAGTGTACCCAGTTAAAAATGCTTCTGTTCTTGAGATTGAACAGGTAGGATTGCATTTCCTTCTTGAGTCTTCCCTTTCTCAAAGTTGAGGGAAACATCATAATCCTTCCTGCAAAGGGACCATCCCAAGGCCCCCGCAGGATGTCTCAGGTTTGCCTTAATCTGTTTAGACAAGAGGGCCCAGCAGGGTGAAGGAAGATCTAAGCCTAGGGATGGATGCGGAAGATGCTGTTTGTCATAATAAACTCACTACCACCATGTTTAGAGGCACCAGTCTGTCTCAACCTTCTTCTTCACCTTTCCATACCCTCTTCACACCTCCTTCATCTTCTCGGCCCTTTCAAATGTCAAAATATATACCCCCTCCTACTGAAACTATTTACTTAGACTAGAAATAAAAGCCTAGGGGAGCCCCGAGTACTTAATGCACTCCTGTAGTTGATGCAAGATGCAGCTTGTTATAGCTCTTCTGACCACTCCACAGCTGCTGCCCCTGGTGCTCCCAGGAGAGTCTCAGGTACAGGCAGAGGGTGGAGGGATCACAGCAGTAGGTGGAGATTGTTTTGTGCTTTGGGCTGGCTTCCTTCACCACTCTGATTCTGTTCAAGAACCTCCAGGTTCTGGGAGAAAGTGAGGGTAGACAGAAATAGGGAGTAAGAAAAGAAAGATGGGACACCCTGCATGTTCTGATTTTCCCTTTGCTTGTATGTATGGGCATAAGGAGAGTGAGGAAAGATAAAGGTGAAAGCAATAGAGGAAGGAACTCTCGGCTGTATGCCCTGCTCAGTTATGAGGCCCTGTTTTCTGCAAAAATCTGCCACCTTCTTCCTGTGCTCAGCATGCAGGAACTCAGGGTGGCTATAAAAGGCTATGCAATCTTTATTTTATTATCCTTCAAAAGCTAAACTATTGGGCTGGAGCTGCAGGCTGAAGTCATAACCATATTAAGCTATAGTGCCAAAGCCATAAAAGCTATGAGTGAGACATCTCAGAGAAGGACAGGGGCCACAGACATTTTAATTCAAAAAGATTTTGTTAGGAAATCTCAGTGGGTGTTGCATGCACATTAAAAAAAATTGGGAAGGAGTCTTGGTTGAATCTAGTGCTGGTTTATCCAGCTCCAAAATGGGACTAAGGGATGGATTTAGAGAAATACAACTAATATAAAGACTCTTACTAGAGGCAGGCCAGGCACTGTTCTAAGTACTTTACAAATATTCTATCTATCTATCTATCTATCTATCTATCTATCTATCTATCTATCTATCTATCATCTCTTTAGCTCTATCTATAATTCTTAAAACAATAAAATAAATTCCACACTTTGCCCCATTATACATATTAAGACAATGGGGGCACAGAGAAATTAAATAATTTGCCCAGTGTCCCAGAGTCAGGATTAGAACTCAGGAAATATGGCTATGGGATCAGTGGGTTTGGGTTCTGAGTATGGAAGTGATATGATAGGCATATGCCGGAGGAGAAGAGACCGAATTATGCATCTCTCTAGAAACTTTCCCTCTCTCTCTATCTAGCTGAGGCAAGGGAGCTGCCTCCCAGCCTTACCCTTTTGTCCTGTGCTGCATACCCACCCCAACATAACTTGGATCTCTGCCACTTCCTTAGGTGTCAGAGCATAGGATCTAAAACATAGATGGGACCTGGGGGCAACTTGAAGCATTGTCACTTATTAGTCATGTAACTTAGCAAGATATTTAGACTCTCAGAACCTCATGGTTTTCAACTATAAAATGTGGATTACAATTCACCCTCTGTTATGTCTTGTGAATGCTAAACATCCCTTCAGAATGATGCATTATGGTATTGTTACTGTTCCTTTGATGATTTGCAAGTCTGTCCCTGCTGTCTTCAATACAAGGTAAAGTTGTAGGAATCTGTCAGATCTCTAGAATGGGGATTCTGTAGACAACTGAGGCTTCCTAAGCCTATCCCCTAACACATCTCTGCAGACCAGCTTTGCTCTCTCCCACAGGGCTTTGAAGAAAAATCAGCTTCTGGCAATGTGAACTGCAGCCAGATCCAGCCAGTGCATGAGGTAGGGTGAGGTAGGCCCCACCAACAAGTTCTGGAAGGGACCTGCAGCTTCAATTCTGGGAAATCAAGGGAAGCATAACTCAATCCCCTAACAGAGGAATGCACTAACAGACAGTCAAGAAGAAACCCCTGTGCAGAGGTAATGCTTCTCTGGCACTCCAAAGTAGGCTCAGCCTCTTCTCCTGCTTCATGTTTGCAAACAGCCCAGGTTGACCCAACATGCTTCATTATGTTTACTGTGCCTATGGCCATGCTTTGCAGCTGGTGAGAAGTGTGTCAAGCTCTGTGGATGAAGGAGACACATGCCATTGTGTGGTTCACCTACCCAACAACCCCATCCCCCTGGAGCAGCTGGAATAGCTACAAAGTAGAGTTCAGGAGCTCATTTGCAAGTATGAGCGGAAGCTGTCTAGAGAGAGCACTTGATCGCTGGGCTGGGGCTGGGGCTGGGGCTGGGAGTTATCCAAGCATAGTCTCCAATAGACACAGCATTGAGATGAGTCCTGGAAGTAGAAAATGTTTGAAGGAAGTGGCACAGCCCTCATCTTTGAGATGAATCTTTAGAATGAAGGGGAAATTCTGTACTATCCTTGGGATCTCCAGTGATAGTAACAGACTATAGAGAGGCTTGTGTAGGGGGTGCCTCCCATAGTAATGGATGAATTAATGGGTATGGACCCACTGGAAGATGAAACTAGGGCAATTTTGGTCTGGGAGGATGCAGCTGAATGGGAGGAGCCACAGGTCTTGACATTTGGGGCAACTTCCTGTTCATCCCCTGCATGCCTAGGTCAGTGAGTATGCACACACCATTGAAGATAAAGACAATGAGGTTCTGGAAATGAGTCACATGCCGGAGTCCTGGAATCCCAGTGCCCTTGCTTCTCCCTATAAGAACCCAGCCTTCAACCTGCTGCGCCTGGAACTGGAGGGAGCACAGAAGTTGGTGACTCAACTTACAGCCATTGGAGGCATTATTGTGGCAGCGGACCTTCTCCACTGACTCCAGAGCCAGGTATACGGATAGATTAAAGAATACCCCTCCCTAGGCCGGGTGCGGTGGCTCACGCCTGTAATTCCAGCACTTTGGGAGGCTGATGTGGGCAGATCACCTGAGGTCAGGAGTTCGAGACCAGCCTGGCCAACATGGTGAAATCCCATCTCTACTAAAAATACAAAAATTAGCCAGTTGTGGTGGTGGGCACCTGTAATCCCAGCTACTTGGGAGGTTGAGGCAAGAGAATAGCTTGAACCCAGGAGATGGAGGTTGCAGTGAGCTGAGATTGCACCACTGCACTGCAGCCTGGGTGACAGAGCAAGACTCTGTGTCAAAAAAAAAAAAAAAAAAAAAAAAAAAAAAAGAAAGAAAAAAAAAATCCCTCCCTGTCACAGACTCCTGTCTTCTCTAACCTCACATATTGGACAAATTCTGATATTACTTCTTTCTGAGGAAGAAGACTTTGAGCTGAGGAATATGACAGCCAGAGTTCAGTTTTTAAGAACACTCTGCAACCCACTTCTCGGGCATCTCATTTCCATAGGTGACTAACGCCAGTCTCACACTCAAGCTTTTGGCTGACTCTGACCAGAGCAGCTTTGGTGCTCTCCAGCAGGAGGTGGATGTCCTTGAGAGTCAACTAAGTGAATGTGAGAGACAAAAGGAGAAAGAACAGGCCTCCAGACGCCTGGACCACCCCTCCCCCCGGGTGAGTGAACAGACTGAGTTTCTCAAGGTCTTATCTCTTCAGAGACCAGGTTGGGAGTGCATGTTGGCTATGGTAAACTGAGGGGAGGGAAGAACAATTTTTTTGTTGTTGTTGTTTGAGACGGAATCTTGCTCTGTTGCCCAGGCTGGAATGCAGTGGCATAATCTCAGCTCACTGCAACCTCCACCTCCTGGGTTCAAGCGATTCTCCCACCTCAGGCTCCCGAGTAGCTGGGATTACAAGTGCTCACCACCAAGCTCGGCTAATTTTTAAATTTTTAGTAGAGACAGGGTATTGCCATGTTGGCCAGGCTGGTCTTGAACTCCTGACCTCAGGTGATCCGCCTGCCTTGGCCTCCCAAGGTGCTGGGATTACAGGTGTGAGCCACTGCACCCAGTCAAAGTACAAATCTTGATAGAGAATAAATCTTTCATTTCCTTGTTTTGTGTGTCACTGAAAAATGCAGACCAAGATTGATATATTCTCATACATCGGCATACATATACACAGACATATGAACACCCCATAATCAGATATACATAACCACCTATGTTTATGCAAAATCAACCTGCTGATATGCTTGTATATGCACTCAGGTGCATGGATACACACTCAAATCCACACATGGTTATTATACTTTCACACTCAGCTACCTGTGGGTTGTGTGCTTTAGACTTCGCTCATATATTGCCTGCTTTATCCCCTAGCTTCTTGTACCCATGGAGGCCTCCAGGAAGTTAGCAAACCCTTTGTGGTTCAGCTCAATTGGAGAGGCTTTTCATACAAGGCAGGTGCCTAGGGCTGAGACTCAGTACCCAATCCAGCCTCTTCCCTTTACTGGGTGGCTCCTCTACGCACAAATGGCAGGTGAGCCCTGAGTGAGTGACTTCTGTTCTGCAATCAGATTACTTCCAAATGTCCCCTACCTGTACCCAAACAGGTTTCTTTATAGCCCCAAGCCAGCTTCTTCTCTCTATTTTAAGTATGCCCCAAAGCAAACCTGGCCTAGGCCTAACAGGTCACCTCCTAATGCTTTTCTCATGAGACAAGCATGACCCAGACTGCCCTGAGCTTCCTTCACAAATCCACTGTCTAAAAATTTTAATCCCATAGTAACTCAAAGATGGTTCTACTTCTACTCTGATTCTATGTAAAGGACAAACTCTTCTATACCTGGGCCTCAAAATTCTAACTTCCTGCTTAGAAGTTCAGAGCATGTCTCTGGCCAAGCTTGAGACTTGGAATTAGGCCAATCTGTATTTGAGACTCAATACTGCCATTTAAGCTAAGTGACCTTGGGAAAATGAATTAACATCTCAGAGCCCTTCTTAGCCATATGTAAAATTGGGATAATTATACATATATGAGAAGATCACATGAGATTACATAGAAAAGTATGTAAAACATAGGTGCTGATATGTATTTATTAGATGAGAGAATGGCTAAAAGAGTCAATAAATAGATGAGTAAGACCCTCAATACATTGTCAGCCTTGCTAGGGAGGTAGGCCCAACACACAGAATGTTAAAAGTCAGTGTGTGTGAAAATGTAATATAGACCTGTTGTGAGAAAGAGACATGAATATAGGTTAAACCAGTCATTGAAGAGCCCCAGTTGAAGCTCAACTCAAAAAGATTAATGTTACTGAAAATTAGTGTTACTGAAAATAATGTTCCCCAATTTCTATGCTTATATAAAATGTATAGGCTATACTTTGTAGCATATAACTCAAATATGCTACACTTTGCAGCATATAAAATATGTTTACATGCCTTGGAACCCTCTCAAAATCTATGGGTAATCAGGACTTACAGAACAATGTTAAGAGATAAGATTACTCATAACTCAGAGATAATTTAAGGAACTTTCCAATGTGACCTCATGAGAACAAATCTCCCTGAATCCAGCTCCAGAAATATGTCCTGTTACAGGACCCTTGCATCTCGAGGACAGGTGGAAGGCGGTAGAGTGTAGATACAGAAGAATCTCCATAAGGAAGAAAAAATAATAGCTACCATTTTTTGATTGCTCATTGGAACAAATGCTCTACTAATTGTTTTCTTTGCTTTATTTTGGACAGTACTAACAGTCAATAAAGTAGCCTGTTATTTTTGTTTACAGTTTTTACTTATAAGCTGTGTGACCTTGAGCAAATGACTCAACATTTCTAAGACCTAGTCTCTTCATCTGTAAGGATAAAACCTACTGTACAGTGCTGTTATTATAATTAAATAAGATTATGCAAATATAGTGTCTAATAGGCACTGTAGCTATTGGTGTTTTATTATTACTGTTACTTTTAAAAACAATTGTTCAGTTTGTCATGGTTGAGTAAGTAAAAGATGAACTAAAGTCAATTGTTTGATAGCAAAGCCCCTGCTCTTGATTAGCAAACCGATCTGCCCATTTTTATAGCCCTTTGTTACCTTAGTTATTGTGGTCACCCAATAATTCCAAATGCAGGGCTTGGCCTAGGTACTTTGACTACTATTGGCTGTACAAATCCTATAATGACCTTGTGCTGCTGAAAAACTATGGAGAGAGGAAGATGGGCTATGGTGATGGCAGTGGAAACGTTGTGTATAAGAACTTTATGTACTTTAACTACTATGGCACAAGCAACATGACCAAGATGGACCTTTCCTCCAACATCCTGGTGCTGCGGCATCCGCTGCCTGGTGCCACCTGTAACAATCACTTTTCCTGTGCTGGTGTGCCCTGGAAGGACTTAGATTTTGTTGGTGATAAGAAGGGGCTGTGGGTTCTTTATGCCACTGAGGAGAGCAAGGGCAACCTGGTTGTGAGTCGTCTCAACACTAGCACCCTAGAAGTGGAGGAAACCTGGTGCACTAGCCAGTACAAGCCAGCCCTGTCAGGGGCCTTCATGGTCTGTGGGGTGCTCTATGCCTTACGCTCACTGAGCACCCACAAAAAGGAGATCTTCTATGCTTTTGACACCACCACCGGGCAGGAGCGTCGCCTCAGCATCCTGTTGGACAAGATGCTGGAAAAGCTGCAGGGCATCAACTACTGCCCCTCAGACCACAAGCTCTATGTCTTCAATGATGGTTACCTGATAAATTATGACTTCACCTTCCTGAAGAGAAGGCTACCAAGACCACCCACCAAGAGGCCCTCTGGGGTTCATGCTCCACCAAAACCCGTCAAACCTAACAAGGCTTCCAGACCCTGAGACCCCAGGGCTGGGCAGAGCATTAGTAGAAGTGTGCCCTCTTCCTTACCTCCAGGAGGACCACATCCCAAAGTGGTCATTGGTCCTAATGATTGGAAGACATTGATTATATCTAGTGAGTCCTTTATGTAATTAATATCTCAATCAGCATATTAAGGTTCCCTTTAATAATGGTCTAGGTGGATTTGATAGGGAAAAAGTAAAATATTAGCTAAGAAAATGGTACCCTCTCTTTCTGATGCTTTGGCATCTCATATTCCTTTTGGAGAATCATAAATCCAGCTTCTGGAACTCAAGAGTTCTGTGATCTAGAATTGTCGGTTTCAGGTTGGGAACATCTGATTCCAGTGCAGAAGCTGTAGGGCAGCTGGTCATTAGAGTAGGATATGAAAGTTCCCTTTCTTATCTCTACCTTCCTGTAAGGTCCCTGGGGAGAAAATATATATATGTGTGTATATATACACACATATATATATATGTATATATACACATATATATAAAGGTGTATACTGCATGTATACATACACACAGTATCACACAGAAACACACGTCCCACATTTAAAAATATGGTTTTTATTTACTTTTTTGTTTTCTTACTAGTTCCATCCAGAGAACTTTGTCCCTGTTTTCTGGAAAATTGTTTTATTTTATTGTAAAGACCTGGACCCCAAAATATGTCCTCGTTCCCCAGCTGGCCCAGGGTGACTGTGAGGATAGACTTGACATCACAATATCCCTTTTCTGAGGATTCATGCCCTTGGAGGGTGGGGTAGGAGGAGGGGTAACCCTAGGAGAAGTCATCACCACTTTGTCCACCATGGGTGAAGTATGAATCAGTAGCCATGCCAGGCCTCAGCTGGGCCACATCTGGAGAACTGGGGTGAGGGCACAACATCGCAAAATACCTGGCCCTAGCCTGGTCACTCATCCCTTTTTGGGCAACAAGGAAACTATCCTGTGGCATGAGAACACAATACCTGAGACAAAGGCCAGCAGAAACATTTGCCTGCCCCTACCCTTTCTGCCCCAGCTTCCACCTGCACCCCATCTGCCCGCCCACTGAAGCGCATGTCGCATGCCATCTCTCGAACATCCAGGATGTCCCAGAGTGGATGTCCTTCAGGTCTTTCGGCAGATAAAAATATCTCTTCAAGTGCCACTCAAGTGATAGTGAAGACTGCAGGCAACCAGAAAGACTTTATGGTAGCTGATGACATCTCGGTGAGGCAGTTCAAGGAGATGCTATTGGCTCACTTCCAATGCCAAATGGACCAACTAGTGCTGGTCTTCATGGGCCGCCTTCTCAAAGACCATGACACACTGAGCCAGAGGGGCATCATGGATGGCCACACCATCTACCTGGTCATCATGTCCAAGCATGGCTCCAGATCTCTAGCCCATTCCTTCCAGGATCTGCCAACGAATGATCCCTGCCACTGGGACAGAAACACCAAAGGAAACAGCAGCGGGGTGCACCAACCAACTGGTATGAATCAAGCTCCAGTAGAATTGGCCCACTTTGTGGGGCCTGATGCACCCAAAGTGCATACCCAGAACTTGGAAGTGAGCCATCCAGAGCACAAAGCACAGATGCTGGAGAATCCTAGCATCCAGCGGCTTCTGTCCAACATGGAGTTCATGCGGCAGTTCATCTCAGAACATTTAGACACTCAACAATTGATGCAGCAGAACCCAGAAGTTTCCCATCTTCTTGACAATTCTGAGATCCTATGGCAGACTCTGGAGCTGGCCAGGAACCTTGCTATGATCCAAGAGATAATGCAGATCCAGCAACCTTCACAAAACCTTGAGTATCCACTGAATCCACAGCTGTATCTGGGCTTAGAGACAATGCCAGGTGGGAACAATGCCCTGGGTCAGAACTGTGCTGACATTAATGATCAAATGCTGAACAGTATGCAAGATCCTTTTGGAGGAAACCCTTTCACAGCTCTCCTGGCAGGAAAAGTGCTGGAACAAGTCCAGTCTTCACCTCCACCTTCACCACCATCCCAGGAACGACAAGACCAGCTCCACAGCATCCTGCAACCCGAGTCATCTATAATAGCTCTGGTGGTTTATCTTCAAACACCTCATCCAGTGACACCCCTAACAAGGTCAACCACACTTCCAAGGCCAACACTGCTATGATCTCCACCAAGGGCCAGAGCCATGTCTGTGCCACTCGGCCAGCCAGCTGGGATACCAGCCTTACCTAGCATAGAGCTTACCCAGCAGCTTCAAGAAGAATACAAGGATGCCACTGTTTCTCTAAGTAGCTCCAGATAGATATTAGAGGGTGATCTCCAGCTGTCAGATGAATAGACCAGCTCCCAGATCACAGGAGGCATGATGCAGTCGCTTATGAACACCCCCTACCTGGCAGCTCAGATTATGTTGTTCATGAGTATGCCTCAGCTGAGTGAACAGTGGAGGCAGCAGCTGCCCACATTCCTGCAGCAGACACAGATTTCTGATCTGCTTATTGCTTTAGCCAACCCTAAAGCATTCCTAGCAATATTGCAGATTGAGCAGGGCCTCCGGCTGCTGGCCACAGCGGCTCCGGTTCTTCTGCCTTGGGTTGCACCTTACCTATGGGGCTTGGGTTGGCTTTCTGCCCCCAGCTGCAGCTATCCTGACACAGTGCTCTGTTCCTGGAATGTTTCGGATATACCCGAGCCTAAGGGACCTGAGTGCTGCCACAAACCTGGAACAGTCCTGTAGAGGCTACAATCCCCAGATGGGGACCCTTCCCACCCTCTGCAAGCTCATGAGATTCGTTTTAGCAAACAGATGGAATCTCTCCAGGCCCTGGAAGCTGGGAACCACCATGCCAATCTACAGGCACTCATTGCTACTGAAGGGGACGCCAATGCTGCTACCCACAAGCTCAAGGGATCCCAGAGATTCTAACCACCATGCCTACTTCTTTGCTTGCCACCTGCCTGTTGACCCACCTGACCATCTCATATGCCTTTTCCACCTCTCCTAATGCTTCCAGCCAAGAGAAGTCCTGGAATAAGAGTTATCAACCAGTGTGTCTTGTACTGAATAATAGATCACTGGCCATGGCTGGAACATCTGTCAACAAAATGGCTACTTGCCCTGATCTGAGGTTTGGCTTTACTTCTTTTGCAAAAAAAAAAAAAAAAAAAAAAAAAAAAAGAAAGAAAGAAAAAAATAACTGTGTGATATTTTTGTCTCACCTACTATACATACATTAACACATAAACCACATGCATGTATTAATATAGAGGTGACAATAATGTTTTTATCTCTAAAACATGAGCATTTTGAGTGTGGTATATGAAACTTGAGCACAGTATATGAAACTGATTATTTTGAGCATGTCACCTCAGACAGGTGTGTGTATGTACACAAGCTCACGTAGTAAAAAATTCACATATAGAGGTGTATAGAGTCCACATACAAGTACACACAGCCAGGTGCAAACATGGATGCAAATACCTAGAGACACATAAACAGACCCATATGTAGGGAAAACAATCATAACATGCTCAAACAGAAAGGGAAACATTTTACATAGATAGGCCTAGATATTTAGTCATAAAGACTATCTGAATTTCTCAAACCCAAATTGTTCAAGTTTGAAAGTGGAACAGAAATAATATGTGGGCCAGAATAGGGTGAATTCACATATCGACCAAGTCCGGATGAATAGTTATCGTCATTGGAGCCTCTTACTCATTGACATTACCACCATTATAAGACGGTGATGGGTTATCACTACTTTCTCGTTAGCACACAGAGATGCAGCTGCTGCCATCTTCACTGTATATCTCAGTCACCACAAATCCAGCCCTCCATGGGGCACAGCACCTCCCAAGAATATCATCTCCTTCAGTATATCTTATGTTTGTAGTTTACATTTTCCGTCGTTGCCCCACTTTTTTCTCTTTCTGCCTCACCTAGAGTATCCCAGCATGGCAGGATATTCAATTACGTGTGTTTTAATTATTCCATGATTAAATAATTTAATACACTCTTACCAGAATAATTCAGTGTTGTTTTAGGCATTGAAAAAATAGCAGTGAAAAAAAATAAAGATCCTTTATTTATTGACTTTACTGTCTTTTGTGGAGATACAAGTTATGTTAGGTGGTAAGTGCTATGAAGAAAAATGAATCAGAACAAGATATTCCACCTAGGGTGATCAGAGAAGGCCTCTCTGAAAAGGTGACATTTGAGCAGAAATCAGATGTAACTAGGAGAACTGAACATGCAATTCACTGGGAGAAGGATGATCCACGAGCTGTCTGAAAGTAAAAGCCCCAAGATAGCAGTATTCCTGCTGTGTTTTAAGAGTAACAAGAAGGTGATATAGCTGAAATGGATAAAAAGGAGTGGGGAATGGGAAGGAAGTCAGAGAGATTGTGAAAAGTTTTATAGGTCTAGTGAAAACTTTGGATTTTACTGTGAATGTAATAGTCACTGGTGAGTTTTGAGCAAATAAATCAAATCATTCAATTTATCAGTCTGACTTCACAATGGAGAATGCACTGTGGGAGAGAAAAACCAGGGAATCAGAGAAACCAGTTAGGAGGCTTTTATAATAGAGAAGTTGAGAAACAGTGGTTTCTTGCACTGGGGTGGGAGCAGGGGAGGTGTTGAGAAGTAGATTCTGGACTCTAAAGAATCTCTGTGGACCCATCCACAGAGATTTGTGTGCTCAACAAACCCCTTCTGAGCCCCACCATGGCCATCAGTAAGAGTGAAGAACAGGCTTACAAACTTTCAAGTGTTTCTAGAAAGCTCACTGCCAAAGACCCCTGCTTCATGTCCACACCTATCAAAAAGAAGTCTCAAGAAATAAATTACAGTGAAAATGAATTTTTTGCCTCCCCATTTAATATGATTAAGCTTCATACCCTCTCTGCTACAGCTTGCATAAAAAGCTCAAGCTATCCAGGTCATCTTTTTTATTTTCATCACAATATGCTCTGAAAATTCCTTACTTGACTCATTTTTCTACTCATTACCAATTTTCCAAGTCTTTTCATCCTACCATTTAGAAGTCATAACTCAGCAATAGAAAAACCCACATATCTACAACCTTCTTTCTAAAGATGACTATACCTTTTTGCTATCATGGAGATCTGGATGTTCACTGAAGACACTGCTTCTCCAGCAGTGGCTACATCTTTGTTCCCCTTGAACTTGGAAGTGGATAGATGTCATTCTTGCACCATCTTGCTGCTTCTCAGCCCTAGTTTTCTGGCTCCAAGATTATTTCATGACCTATGAATATAATAATTGTAGCATAATACTTGCCTAGTTAACTCATTATGGTGATACTGAACTCTTCACCTAGTCTCTGTTTAGGCAAAGAAAAGCATACAACTGTGCTGACTAGTTTCATTTAAACTTATTATGAAAAGAATTAATTATTGTCTTAGCAATCCTAACTGCATTTTCCCAGTCCAGTAATTCTCACCAGAATCTGCACCAGGATCACCCAGAGGGTGTGTTAAAATACAGATTTCTGCGTGACATTCCAAGGGTGTCTGATTCAGTAGGTCTACAGTAGCGTTGAAATCTCTCATTTCTAATAAGTTTCCAGGTGGTGCTAATGCTGTCAGTTTGGAGATCATACCTGGAAATCTACTATCCTAGTTAACTCACTAAATTATTGTTAGTCCAAACTGCATCATTTTGTAAACTTCCCACTATTTTGCAGACCTTGGTCAAACTGAAACATTTCACAGCGGTTCAGGCTATGAGAAACATCCTGCCTAACCACCTGACCACAAGGAGGACAAAGGCCCAACTAAAGTAACATCCCTATCATATCTTGCTAGGCAAAGGTCCATTGAACACCACGATGATATCCTACAGAAACAAGGACCAACCGCCTCATCCTGAGAACACCTTATCAATATCCTGCCAGGCAGCAAGCCATACTGCTCAGACCACTCGCTCCCATACCTATAAACTACCCCAGCCTGTAAGAAGCGGTGGGCTCTGGCATTAGGCTGGTCCCACACTTCTCTAGGTTTTATGCTAGATATAAAGCCTGCATTTGCTGTGTTTGTGTGTCTTTCTTTAACCCTTGCCTTCTCTTCGAAACCTAACACTTATTCTTTCAGATGATCAATTCATATCTTGTTTTCTCTTCTCTAAATCTTAAAAGTTGTGTTTATTTCAACAAGAAAGACAATAATAATCAGAAGGGACTTCTACCTGTGTCTACCATGAAATCAATCAACTAGCTTACATCTGTCCCAATACACTCTGCCTCCCATGCATTCTGCTGTCATGAATAAACTGTTCATATCCCTAAATCAAGCTCTCCACATGGGCACTTGCTCCCAATCTCTCTAACTTATCTATTCAATAACTTAATAGTTTTCCCTTTCTCATGCATCAATTTTTTCTACTCATTGGATTGCTTCCATCAGGATATAAACATCACACACTATTCTTAAGACAAAAAATCTAAAAAGCCTTTAACCCCACATTCCCACATAGCTGTCATCCCCTTTCTTGCATTTATAATACCCTTACTAGATCTACTTTTTCCCAAACAATTTGCTTTTAAACACACTCTAATCAGGCTTCCTTCCTCTACTATCCTTCCAAAGTTTGTCTCATCATGGTCTCCAATTCTTTATTTTTTCAAATCCAGTGGCCAATTCTCAATCCTCATTCTCCTGACCTAGCAGCATCATTTGACATGGCTGGTCACTCTCTCCTTTTTGAAACTCTTCTTCCTTTGGCCTTTCTCTTTTCTCTTTTTTTCTACCTTATTGTATTATTTTTTCTCAGTTTCCTTTGCCAAATTCTTCTGATCTTCCAGATTTCTAAATGTTATAGAGCCACAAAACTCAGATTTTAAAATCTCTATCATTTTGCCTGTATGCACTAACTAGCTAATCTAAACCAGTCCATGATGTTAAGCACCCTTTGAATGCTAATAAACTCTGGACTTATAATATTCAACTACCATTGTACATCTCCATTTGTATGTAAAATAGACATCTCAAATGTATGTAAAACTGTTTAACAACCTGCTGATTTAGAGAAAGTGCTTATTCCCAATCTTTATCTTAGTAAATATTCAGTCCTTTGAGTTCCTTTGGGGGATAACGATTTCTTTTAAAGTAAAAAAAAAAAAAAAAAAAAAAAAATTATGTCATGCTTGACTCCTCCCTTATACCCCAAATCCCATCCATCAGCAAATCAATACTTTGAAAATACGTAAAGAATTCATGGTTAATGTTGAATAAGACAGAAAACTGGGACATAGGATACTAGGAAGAAGCCCCTGGACCAGGAAGTAGCTGAATGAGGGTCTGAATGGAGACAGAGAGGACTGAGAGATGTTTTATAATGTTCCAATCCCAGTGTGAGCCTCCACAGAAGTCTCCACAGGAAGGCACTTGAGGTGGAAGAAGGTAGAAGTGGTAAAAGATGGGACAGCAAGAGTTCCCAGGGATCCAGAGCTCGTTAGAGAAGTCTCAAGAACCTTCTGATTGAGGCTGTGACGTCAGCACTGAGGTCACAGAAGGGACCTGATAGTGCGGGTTCTGACCCAGAAGGCCACAGGGGTGGCTGTGTAGCAAGATGAGGGAGGTTTGGAGCCTTGCATAAAGAGAAGGACGGGACCACAGCTGACTGGTATGTACACCCCAGCCTGGGCCCTTCCTCCTACCTTTGTCCCTGTACTCATCAACTACAGACCTCTTTCCCAGGGCCCTGTATTTCCCTCCCCTGATTCCAACATGTCTCAATCCTGCAATCCTCCTAAAGCATCCTGCCCCAGAAACCTCATGGCCCCTTTCGTGTAGACCCTGCAGCTTTCCCTATCCTGATATTCAAGCCCCTTTTCATGCTCACCTTTCCTACTTTTGCCATTGCCTGAAAGGATGATCTTGGTCTCCCATCCCCATGCCCCTAGCTGTGTCCCCACAGACCTGGGCCTCCTGCTGCCACCATGGCCAAAGGTGGAGAAGCCCTGCCACAGGGCAGCCCAGCACCAGTCCAGGATCCCCACCTCATCAAGGTGACAGTGAAGACGCCCAAAGACAAGGAGGATTTCTCAGTTACAGACTCATGCACCATCCAGCAGCTGAAGGAAGAGATATCTCAGCGCTTTAAGGCCCACCCTGATCAGCTTGTTCTAATCTTTGCTGGCAAAATCCTCAAGGATCCTGACTCACTGGCACAGTGTGGAGTGCGAGACGGCCTCACTGTCCACCTGGTCATCAAGATGCAGCGCCGTGCCATGGGCAGTGAGTGCCCAGCTGCCTCTGTCCCTACCCAGGGCCCAAGTCCTGGATCACTCCCTCAGCCAAGCTCCATTTACCCAGCAGATGGGCCCCCTGCCTTCAGCTTAGGTCTCCTCACAGGCCTCAATGGGCTGGGCTTGACCTATCGTGGCTTCCCTGACCAGCCAAGCTCACTAATGCGGCAGCATGTGTCTGTGCCTGAGTTTGTGGCTCAGCTCATTGATGACCCCTTCATCCAGGGTCTGCTGTCCAACACAGGCCTGGTACGCCAGCTGGTTCTTGACAACCCCCATATGCAGCAGCTAATCCAGCACAACCCTGAGATTGGGCATATTCTCAACAACCCTGAAATTATGCGGCAGACACTGGAGTTTTTACGTAACCCTGCCATGATGCAGGAGATGATACGTAGCCAGGACCGGGTGCTCAGTAACTTGGAGAGCATTCCCGGTGGCTACAATGTGCTTCGCACTATGTACACAGATATTATGGACCCGATGCTTAATGCAGTCCAGGAGCAGTTTGGTGGCAATCCCTTTGCCACTGCCACTACCGATAATGCCACCACCACCACAAGCCAACCTTCAAGGATGGAGAATTGTGACCCTCTCCCCAACCCCTGGACTTCTACACATGGAGGCTCAGGTAGCAGGCAACAAAGGCAGGATGGGGATCAGGATGCAGCTGACATCAGAAATAGGTTTCCAAACTTTCTGGGTATTATAGGACTCTATGACTATCTCCAGCAATTACACGAGAACCCCCAGTCCCTAGGAACTTATCTACAGGGGACAGCATCTGCCCTCAGCCAAAGCCAGGAACGACCACCACCAGTAAACAGAGTTCCCCCATTGTCACCCTCATCTCAGGAGCCCAGGTCAGGCCAGCCTCTCCCCAAGGAGTCAGTAGCAATCAAGGGAAGGTCCTCCTGCCCAGCTTTCCTGAGATACCCCACAGAGAATGGTACTGGAAAAGGTGGAGACCAAGATGGTGCAGGGAAAAGCCCTACTGGACATAGCACAAACTTGCCTGATCTTGTCTCGGGGCTGGGAGATTCTGCCAACAGGGTTCCATTTGTTCCCTTAACCTCTTCCCCCACGGCAGCCATTCCTGGAATCCCTGAGCCTCCCTGGCTGCCATCCCCACCTTATCCAAGATCTCTGAGGCCAGATGGCATGAATCCGGCTCCACAGTTACAGGATGAGATACAACCACAGCTGCCACTGCTGATGCACCTTCAGGCAGCCATGGAAAACCCCCGTGCCATGCAAGCCCTGCGGCAGATTGAGCAGGGTCTGCAGGTCCTAGCTACTGAAGCACCTCGCCTCCTACTCTGGTTCATGCCTTGCCTAGCAGGGATGGGTAGTGTGGCAGGAGGTATACAGTCTAGAGAAGATCCCCTTATGTCTGAGGATCCTCTCCCAAATCCACCTCCTGAGGTGTTCCCAGCACTGGACTCTGCAGAGCTGGGCTTCCATTCCCCTCCCTTTCTCCATATGCTGCAAGATTTAGTTAGTACAAATCCCCAGCAGCTGCAGCCTGAGGCTCACTTTCAGGTGCAGCTGGAGCAACTGCGGTCCATGGGCTTTCTAAATCGTGAAGCCAATCTTCAGGCCCTCATTGCTACGGGGGGCGATGTGGATGCTGCTGCGGAGAAGCTGAGACAGTCATAGGAGCCTTAGTCATTCACACCATACGTTTTCCTCTGTGCCTTTTTCCCATATCCTATTTCCCTAGCTCTCCCATTTTTGAATACAGCTGCATTATAAACAAAATTTACTATGATGCCCTTTACTGTGGAGGCAATGTTGTTCCAGAGTCAACGAGGAAGACGAATTGCCAAAACATAGTGGAGGCACTGTGTATGAGTCAACCACTTGTACCACTATACCATCGGGGGGCCCCGGTCTGAGCTCTGCTTATGCCTATCTTGAGATGCAATTACACCCAATTTCCAATGTGAACTCTTGCCTGAGTCTCATTCATGTGGGCTATGAGAAAAAAGGAAGGATACGGGAGAAGAGGTAGTGATAAGGGCTGTCTCTACATGGATGGAAGGACTTGGAGGGAAACTAAAAGATCTGAAGTTAGAAGATCTTCTTCACAGGTTTGAAGAACAGAGGAGGAAATGTTGTTGCAACCTTTTGAAGGTTAAGGCCTGCAACTTTCCCAGTGTTCTTTCAGCGTTTCTTCAGATTTTGTGTCCTGTAGTAGCTGCTACCAGGTGCTCTGGTTTTCCGAGCTCCCTACCACTAACCTGACTGAAAAGTGGGTACAGTTTCTTTCTTTAACTTCCCCTGAAGACTATCCCCCAAGTGGCTTTCACTTCCAGGATTTGATGCTGATCTCTGAGCAGATAGAGCAGCAAAGGAGTCAGGGTGACTTCTCAGATTCCTGAATCTCACCGACTTTATACAGTCCCTTGTAACCAGATTCAGAGAGTTAATTTTTTGCAACTTCAAGCTCAAAATTGAAGACCTGCTCTGTGTATAGCATTCTGCTAGCTATTGGGAATTCAATATGAGAAAAAGAGTTTTACTCACTGCCCTGCCTCTATGAATTTATGATCTTATAGCAAGAATTGTGCAAATTGTGACTATACAATTCACATTATATGTAATTACAAACTATAATAAGTGGTGTAAAGAAAAAGATGAGGAGCTGTGAAATAGCATGAACAGGGTCTTGATCTAGTCTGGAGAGACAGGAAAGGCTTCTGTGAGTGTGTACTGCAAACTAGAATCCAAAAAGTGGTTAAGAATTAAGTAGGTAAAGCTCTGAAGGAGGAGGGAAGAGCTTTCCTGCAGAAGAGCTATTATGTACAAAGGCACCGACATAGGAGGTGCATAACACAGGGAAGATGCCCTTGGCGTCTCAGACTAAATCCTTGTTTGCATTCAAGGATGCTTTGCATTACCCATGTACTTCCAGGGTAAAAGTGCTACAGTTCATAAATCAAGCCGGTAAATAATGCTTTCCAATCCATATGCACATAAATGTGTCAGGTAAACTCACTGTAGACAAATGCACATCCGCTTAAATACATCTTCACATGGGTACATTCTATGTACATATGTAAAAGCCTGTTAAATCAGTTTCATCGTAAAATGGAAGTGTAAACATAAGAAACATTCACACTATATTCCTGTCAAGGAAGTAAAGAGGTCTTGATGGGGGCTATCTAAAAGTGGCTCTGGTGTGTGTTTAGATGTCAGAGACTCAGTACTGGGAGAGAGAGAACCTCTACTTGGAGCCCAGGATATTTTGATCATCCTGTGTAACTTAGAGCTGCTAGCGCAAGGCTTAAAGGAGATAAAAGCAGCCTTTGGGAAAACACTTATTCTAGCGATTTAGGTTTCGATGTCTAGGTTGAGCACAAGGCTCTTGATATGATTTGGCTCTGTATCCCCACCCAGATCTCATCTTGTAGCTCCCATAATTCCCACATGTTGTGGGAGGGACCTGGTGTGAGATGATTGAATCATGGGGGCGGGTCTTTCCCTTGCTGTTCTGGTGATAGTGAATGGGTCTCACGAGATCTGACGGTTTTAAAAACCAGAGTTGCTGTGCACAAGCTCTCCTTTTGCCTGCTGCTATGCCGGGAAGATGGGACTTGCTTCTCCTGGCCGTGGTTGTGAGCACGCCTCCCCAGCCATGTGGAACTGTAAGTCCAGTAAACCTCTTTCTTTTATAAATTGCCCAGTCTGGGGT